ATGCCTCCAAAGGAACGGAGAAGTCCAAACTAATAGCAAATGCTGCAGCTGGGTTAGCCTCCCAGAGAGACCCAGGCTTCACAACCCTCCTTCTCTTTTTAATCTTTCAAATGATACTCACAGATGCTAAAAATCTGACTGATCTGAGAATCCACAGCAAACCAGAAGTTTGCATTCTTTATACACACAGACACCCCCCACCACCACCACCAAAAGAAAAGGCAAATCTATTTCCCATCTAGGGATGCAGACAAATCAATCACTTTTGTCCTCAATGGGTGTATTTATTGAGCAATTTCAGCATTGTAAAGATGAGGCAGGAGAGAAAGATGGTTCCAGCACCACAGAAATATCCATTTATTCTCCTCCTACAGCAACCCCCAACAGGCACTTAGGTAACCAAAAAAAAAAAAAAAAAAAAAAAAAGGCCCATTGCCACTCCCACTGCTCGGGGCCTGCACTGTGTCTTCTTCTGCTTGAATGACCATAAAAATGTCCATCTATGGGCTAGGAGAGACCTCTTGGTTGGTTACAGTGTTTGTTGCACCAGCGTGAGGACCTCAGTTTGAACCCCAGCACTCATGTAAAAACTGAAGCTGATGGTGCTCATAACCTAGTACTGGAGAGGTAGAGACAAGCAGAAATCTGGGCTCCCAGCTAACCTAGGAATAGGTGAACTCCAGGCCAATGAAAAAACCAGGGTCCAAGATTGACATCTACATATATGCAAACATATGTGCCTCACTCACCTGCATGAACACACACAAGTCCTTCCGAAGAGGTGAACCTAGTCAGTCACACAAGACAAACCCCAAGGAACAATTAGAAATGCCTACCATATACAAGAGAACCACAAAATGACGAGTTATCGGGGCATTTGAAAACCTTTCATATCCTTTTCTGAATTGTGGATATGAAGCTTCTGTTTTGTCAGAAAATGCTTACAGACATCTCTGTGGCTGGGGAGATAACTCAGTCAGTAAAGTGTTTGCCTTGCAAACACGAGTTCAATCCCCAGATGCTATATCTTTAAGATTTTAGAAATAACAAAAATAAAACACTAGGCACAGTAGCATGCTCTTGAAAGCCAGCTGGAAAAGAAGAGTCAGGCCACAGGCTGGTTCTTAGGGCTTGCTGCCCAGCCAACCTAGTCTTCTTAGTGAGTTCCAGGCCAATGAGAGACCCTGTCGCAAGAAAGAAAGAAAGAAAGAAAGAAAGAAAGAAAGAAAGAAAGAAAAAGTAAAGAGAAAAAAAAAAAGAAAAAAACCAACCAAACAAAAACAAACCAGTGGTGTGGCTTGAGGAAAAACAGCCAAGACTGTTCTCTACCTACACACCTACATGTGATGTGTATACATGCATGCATCTGCACATAGATGCAAGTGTGTCATACACACACACACACACACACACACACACACACAACCTCCAGCAGAGATGGCTCTAACTGCCTAGCAAATGTGCCAACAGAAATGTTTACCATCTCTAATTTGCTGTTACACAACATTTATTTGCTCTCACTGTGTGCCAAGGATCTGAAAACATGTTGTTGATTAATAAACAGTAATTAAGTCTCACCACCTCACTCAGAGATACAGTTAGGTTCTGGGATCCCCCTTTGCAGGAGACTAAAGTGAAGCATCAGGGTTGAAAGTATTCCTGGGGCCTGACTTGAAGGTGCATTAGACATATCCACACCAGAGCCTGTCCCTCTCCCCTCCCTCAATCTCCTCTTCCATAGTCCTAATCCAGTCACCACTTCCTGGGCCCCCTACTCAGCAAGGCCCCTCTAAGCACACTGACAAAAGGCCTTGACCCTCAGTTTCTTACAGAGGGAGATACCAGATTAGTCTGACTGGCAAATACAAGATTATAAAGCCTGGCTACTGAATCCTCCTCCAGGTCTATTGTTTGTTTTTTGTTTTTTTTTTTTACAATGTTTTATTTCAAAAGCATTTTGATCAGTTTCTGGCAGAGCCTTGGGGTCTTGAAGCTGTTTGGTGTAGGTGTGGGGAACAGTGTGGCTGGGGCTACACAGATCTTTGGGCATAGACTCCAATTCTTCAATTATTGTTGTCTATGCCTCTGATTCCTACTAGACTTCATTATAAATAAAAGTCCAGCAGTAAAACCCACACCAAAGGAACAGAAAGTAACTTCTACAGTAAGTCTCAGGCCAGGGTCACTAGACTTGGCCCAGGGTGAGCCAGACATCCTCAACTTAGAACCACTTCTGGCAAGTTCGGGGAGATGATACAATGGTGATAACTCAAGAACTCTGAAATCCTTGCATATTTAGATAAGAGGTTATTCATAATACTCTCTTATGTATCCTTATTAAAATTGGCTTTCCATATACTAAAATCCTTTTTAAAATTATTTGTAGTCCTAGAATGTAACCCAGGCTTCACACGCAGTAAGTAAACACTCTACCACTTAGCTACAGGTTAAATTATTGTTTTTAGGCTATTAGTAGCTGAACAGGATCATGGAAAGTTGTTCTGGAACTAGAAAGATGTCTCAGGAAGGAAAGAGTCTGCCACACAGGCATGAAGACCTGAATTTGCATTTCCATAACCCACATAAAAGTTGGGCATGACCACCCTCAACTGTAATCCCAGCACAGTTGGATACCTGAAACTCATTGGCCAGCCACTCTGGCCCAGGTTCAGTGTAAGGCAGAAGCAAAGGAAGGAGACATCCAGTGTTGACCTCTGGCCTCCATGTGCACTTGAAAACACACATGCACACACATTCGCCTCTTCTGCCTAGCTCTCTGAATAGTATTTCCATCACTTAGTAGCTAGCTTGTTAGCTCAGTCTCCCTCATGCCTCAGTTTTGTCATCTGAAAACTATGGTAGCACTAAATAATTACGTCATGAATTTAGTGTGTGAGTTCAAATGGATTAATACACACAAGAAGCTTAGAATAAATGCCTAGTGCTTAATATACTTTTAAGAATGCCACCATAATTGTCAATACTATTATTTCAGTTCATTTTTTTTATCTTGATCACTGTATTTCTAGTAGCACCCTAGGTGCCCTGTCAGCATTACACCAGAAAGCTTCTTTGCAAAGAATGATTGTCAAACAGAAAGGACCCTAGGAAAGGACCAGCTCATTGGAGCACAGCTTAAGTTCACCAAGTTGTTCTGCCTGAGCTCAGGTCTGCATGAAGTCACACCTCAGTCCTTTCCAGAATGGAAGCCACTCCAGGGAACCCAAACAGCATGCTACACAGTGTAGTGTACTCAAAGCTGGCAGCCTAGCCACTGCAGAGGTACAAGCGTGGTGCTGGGGCTTTGCCAGTGAGGACAGTCAGTGAAGGGATATTGGATCCACCTGCCTGGAGGCTGCAGACAATGGGTTCCTGTAAAAGACGCATAAGGGGATGTTCACACAGGAGGGTGTTCTGCAATCTCCAATCCCTCATCTGCAATCATATGCCAGGTCCCTGATGGACAAGCAAAAGGTGCATTTCTGATTTCCTGTTAACTTGTGCATCTCGGAGTCACAACCTCGAACCTCAATGACAATTTTGAAAAGTTTGGACCGGAAGAAACGTCTTAACTGGGAGTTAAGAGGCTAACCCTCTTTACTGAAAAGCTAAGAGCCCCCTAGTTTTATTTCCACAGACACTAAGTAGGTACCCAGGCATGCCTTCCCTGGAGCAGGGCAGCAGCGGCAGGGTGACCCTGTTCCAGAGCTCAGCACACACTGCACAGGCTGATTCCAGGAATCCAGAAGCACAGTTGACAATGCTGCCCTACAACTTCTCTCCGGGGGACCCACTGCAGGTGGGGGCCATGAAGGAAAATCATTAGCAATATTTAGCTGTGGAACTCTTGAGTTTAGAGAGGGTTTTGAAAATGGGGTCCTGCAAAAGCAAAGCAAATGCAGAAATACGACGGTTGAAACGACAGAAGAAAGAAAAGCACCCAGCCAGACACACAGATATGCCCGGGAAACACCCCACTCTTTTTCTCTGTGCCATCACCACCTCCTGAACCCCAGCAAAAAGGCTCCTTTCATGCAGCACGTGTGTGACTGTATCTGGATGGACAGATACTGATCAAAAACAGAAACCGATCAAGTGAGTTGGGGCGGGGGGAGGAGGGAGATAACCTGAACTTCAGACTCATTTGGCAGCTCTGAATTCTTTCACAGCCCTTGTACCTCTCTGAGGCGCTTCAAAACAAAACAAAACCAACTCATGCGCAGGAAGGGAACTGCAGCTGTGCTGAGAGGCACATGTTCAGAGCACTGATGACACACACTTTTGATCATTTCTGCTTTCTTGAGATGTAACCATCAAGCATGAGCCTACGTGAAGCCGTGAAGCCGCGGGGAGAACCGCCTCTGAAGACTCACTAACCCTCCTCCCACCCGGTCATGCGTCCCAGCGCGGGCCGCTGACCCTATGTGAAATGCACACTCAGAGGAGGCTCTGCCCACATGTCACTCCGAATACTGCGAAATTCTTCCCTCCTGTCATCCCGAAGCCATCCAAAGTCTTATCTACCCTTAGTACGTGCATATGTCAATTCCATAGGATTATATGATGTAAGGATAGGGCCAAAAGCTTAATTTCCTCGTGATCACTTTCGTCTACCGAGTGCGCCCATACGTATGGTGAGTAAGTAAGTGCACACAGCCAGCGACCAACGAGATCCACCACACTCAGCCCACAGTCACGCGTGGGGAGAAAATCGGTGGAGGGCGGTGGTGGCAAGGGAAATGGAAAGTCGCCCGCCCGCGTGGGCTGTTCTCTGCGCGCCCAACGCTCCCCTCCCCCGCCCAGGAGAGGTGGCACCCGTGGGCGCAGACCCACGCGGTGGACTCGCGGAGGGTCTCCGCAAGAGCGGACTGTGGGACAATGAGGACGCAGCGACCAATTTCTGCCGCGGTTGTGGCGGCGGCGGCAGCAGCAGGAGCCAACGATGCAAAGCTGCCGCCACCGATGCCACTTCCACCCTCTGGTCCCCAGCACCCACTTACGTTCCGAGGGTCTCCTTGAACTCGAAGATCTTCTTTATGTCTTCCGCTTGCTTTTTCCAGGAGGAGCTGCTCTCGCCGTTCTCCCGGGCCATGGCAGACTAGCGCGGTGGGGCAGACGGGGGTGAGCTGGGGAGGGGGCGCCGGGGGCGCGGCGCGGGCGCAGGAGGATGCCGGGCGCGGGGATGCAGAGCCGGAGTATGCGGAGCGCAGGGAGGCTCCGGCTGCGGCAGAGCTTCCTCTTCGGCAGTTTCCTCTTTCGCCTTGGCTGCCGCCGCCGCGGTCCCTCCCTGGCTCTAATTTCTACTGCTCTCCGGCACAGACTTCCTGCCTCTGCCGCCGCCTGCCAGCCTCACTTTCTGCTACTTTCTTGCTTGGCTCCTGCTCCCTCCCTGCCGCCCGCCCCACTCCCCCAGCCCGCCTCCTCCCGCGGGCTCCCCGCCCTCCCAGTGCACCCGGCAGCCTCCCCGCCTCCCGCGAGGCGGCCTTCGGGGATGTCCCGCTCCCCTCCCCAAGAGCGCCGTGCCCTGGGCGCTGCTGGAGTGCTGCACTTGACCACGGGGCCACGCACGCTCCTGGGCTGTCCACGCACCCTGAGTCCCCCTGTGAAGAAGGGTAGGGGAACCCAGCAGGTGCAGGGCGCTGGAACGCGCGGGGGAGCCCTAGCCTTTAGGGAGCTTTATTATGAAGTCAAGGCTGGGGGCGCCCGGGCTTTCCCTCTTTGGGCAGGAGGGGGCGCCTCTGCGTGGCGCTCGGAAGCTCCGGGCAAGGTGGGGATGCGCGGCTCACAGATTCGGGGCGCCCAGGGCGGGGCGCCTTCGAACGCTCAAGTGCTGGTGGCCCAAGCCTGCTGTGCGGGAAGGCGGGTGGGGGCTGGTTGTCAAGGCAATGGGCGGCGGCCTGGGAGAAGCCAGAGGCAGGCTTGCGTTGACTCCGAGTCCCAGCTTTGCCCAAGCCAGCACTCCCTAAGCTCGGCAGTTTCCTCCTGACTCTCTGCTGCTGGAGCTAATTCGCATTGCACCAAAATCGGCCTCCCGTCAATTTCGGGACCGCTAAAGGCAGCCTCGGAGTACGGGACATGTACAGGAACTCCCAAGGCAGGCCGATCACTGCCTGGTGGTCCCTTTGGAAGAAAAACTCCTGGAGATATTTGGCGGTCAACTGATGGATGGATGTGGGACACCGTGGATGGCCTGGCCCCGGACTGGAGTGACTGGGCTGGCTAGTGTTTGAATCCTTCAGATTTGCTCTTTCTCGATTTGCTCCTGATGCTCTGTGGCTGTGGCCAAAACCCCAATGGTTCTGTGGAAAAGCAGTGTTGAGTGCCTTTCCTGACCGCCTTCCCCAACTGGCATAACCTGCAGATGGCTTACTTAGTAAGTAGGTAGCAGAGGCAGAGAAACAAAGAATTTCCACAGGCCTCTGATCTCCAAACTTTGACTTGCCCACCAGCTCCCGGTAGTCACCTGTTAGAGGACAGCCAGCAGAGATCCTGTGACCTGCAACTGGCAGGGACTACCTCTAGATCGGAAAATTTAAGTTTTCTTTGTAGCAAGACTTCCTCTCCCTTTGGGCTGCTCTGCTGAGTTGAGTAAACAGCTCTGTCCCTTGATTAGGGACACCTGTCCCATTTTCCCAGGACTGTTCCAATTTAAGAGTGGGAGGTGTGATTCTGCTTTCAGAAAAGAATCTTCCCCCATCACCTCCCTTTTGGTTCTGACTGGCCACAGGCTCTGCCTTCAAGCTCTCTGGTAACCCTCAAGGAGGTCAGAAGACTAGCCATCTATCCTTGGAATCTGAGTGCTGTTTCCTGCCTTCCAGTGACCCTTAGCTCAAGGCTCATGAAGCTGAGAAGAGCTGAGAGGGGGACATTGCCTTTGGTTGTTTAGGAGTGGGACGCCACCTGAGTGGTTGCATGGTCACCATGTTAAGTGTACATATATAGGCCTACTACACAGCGCGGGTACGCACACACGCGCACACACACACACACACACACACACACACATACACACACACTATGGGGGGGGGGAGTAACAGCCTATTGCTCCTAGGACCAAAATGAACAAAACATGAAATTAAATCTAACATAAGACCATAAGACAAAATGATGCAATCAAGAGGAACAGCAAACACAAAATACCAGAGGGTGTTGCCAGCATAATAAAAACTGACCTACCGTCAACCTTTTTTCATAATAGAAGGCATATATTCTAGAATAAAAAAATTAAACACAAAAAATAGATAAATCAGTAAGAATCATTTTTCATCAAGCATTCTTTACTTAAGTAATGATCTCTGTAGTACCTCTAGGCAAGGTAGAGCATGGAGGATCTGTTTACACCACCATTACCACCAGCACATGAGTAATGGGTTACACTGTGACATTACCACCAGCTAAGAGGTCACTAGGCCATACGAATTTTGCAGCTCCATTATAATGCCATCATAATGCCTACATGACTGTACTTGCTGTTACAAACCCAGAAAAGAACCTTCAAACTCAATATCTAAGAGAGAAAATTAAGGAACCTTTCTCAAAAATGAAGATATCCCCAAGGTCCAAAGCATAAAGTGAGAACCACTTTAGCACAAGTTTGAGTAGATCTTAATAATAAAAGCCCAGAGTCAGATATAGGAGTAAATGCTAAAAGATCAGAGAGACAAAGAAGCAAACCACAGCCACACCTTACTTCCTAAAGTTCCCAGCCCACCCCCGAGATTTCCTGTCTCCTCCCGCCTTATAGTCCTCTCTCTGCCCAGCCATATCACTTCCTGACTGTCTATGCAGAACTCCAGACCTCTATGGTTAGCTAGTGGCTAGTTCCATCCTTTGATCTTAAGGCAAGCTTTATTTGTTAGAGCACAAACAAAATATCTCACAAACCATATAAAGGGATTTGCAACATGGACAAGCAGAAGTCAACCAAGAGCACAAATGACGCTGTCACACGCATCTTCTTGGTTGTTTCTCTTTCCCCCTCTTCCTCTCCCTCTCCCTCTCTCCCTCTGTTCAATCAAAAAGAAACAATTTCACAGGAACAATAAAAGTATAAGGAAAAGTAGAGGTAAGGGCCTAGGAGATGGTTCAGTAGGTGGAGTACTTTCCTTGCAGATTTGAGGGCCTGAGTTTCATCTCCAGAATGCAGGTGAGTTTTTAGTTTTAGGTTTTGTATTGTTTAAGGGGTTTTTGTTTGGTTGGTCTGTTTGGTTTGTTTGAGGGTTTGTTGTTGTTGTTGTTGTTGTTGTTGTTTTACAATAATAATAACAATTGTAATACACCAGATGTGGTGGCAGGCACTTGTAATGCCAAGGCTTGTAGGGTGGAGATAAGTGAGTGTATCCTGGGGCACAATAGCCAACCAAACAGCCAGCCTAGCCTCCTTGGTGAGTTCTAGGCCAGTAAGAGATGATTTAAAAAATAATAATAATAAATGAAATAGATGGTCCATGAGAAATGACACCCAAGGTTGTCCTTGGTCCTCCACATGCACGTGGGTACACACACACACACACACACACACACACACACACACAACCAGGCATGCCTTTTCCTGCCAGGTTGCACAAGCTCCTTAAGAGCAAGGCTCTTGGCATCCCCACTATTGCATGGCTCACAGTAATTTAAACATAGTGACTACTCCATAAAGGAGTATTGAGTGGATAAAGAAACAGACCTAAGCCCACTAGATGACACTTGTTTTGCCGGTAGCAATACTGTGAAGGTACTGGCTTTTTTATCCAAACTCCATAATGATGTTGGTTCACTGGTAAAAAAGCTATTTCCCTTTGGACCAGATTCGTGGGGGAGGGCAGTAGCTTTTTAATAGAGAGCTGGCAAAATCACACCCAGAGGAGCCGATCCGATCTGACCCGTGTATAGGAAATGGAAATACAGAAGGCACGTTCATTTGGGCTGTATTATTTTCACTTCTCCCTTACCAGATGGCATGTAAAATAAACAAAAGTGCTAGATCCTGGAAAGGGCAATTAAAAAATCAAGCCTTCAGGGGCTGGAGAGATGACTTATCGGTTAAGAGCTACTCTTCCAGAGGACTAGGGTTCAATTTCCAGCACCCACATGGCTACTCATAACCATTGGTATGTAACTCCAGTTCCAGAGGATCTGACACCCTCTTCTGGCCTCTGTGGGCACTGGATTCATGTGGAATATGTGGAACAAAGCACCCAAATACATCAATTTTTTAAAAGTAAAACAAATTAAAAAAGAATATTTCAACCTGAACTCTGTAAACATCACAGTTCTATTTACTAGAGTGTCAGCTCTTAGACTCACCTCCAACGTAGCTGGCTGTTCCTTCCTGCTTGCCACATTTTTATGGCTGAAGAACTGACAGCTGCCACTCTCTTCCTGCATTTCATCCCTGAGTCTATTTCCAATAAACTACAGTCTGTGAGTCACCATCATCAGTTACTCAACAGCTCTATTTCAAAAAGAATTTACACGGGGCTGAAGAGATGGCTCAGTGCTCCAGAGCACTGACTGTTCTTCCAGAGGACTAGGGTTCAATTCCCAGCACCCACATGGCAGCTCACAATGTCTGTAACTCCAGTTCCAAGGCACACATGCATACAGAAACACCATTGCACACAAAAGTGAAAATAAATAAATAAATATTAAAAAAAAAAAAAAAGCCTTGCCATAAATTTGACTTGCTAAGGCTTGGGTTCTGCTATAGTCTGAATGGTAAAGGTAGCATAAAGGTCCATGTTTTAAAGACTTGGTCCCTACTGTGACATTTCAGAGAGGCAGTGGAACCTTTGAGAGGTGGGACCTAGTGGCAGTGATTTAGGTCATGGAGGTATAATCTTGAAGAAGAATAGGGAATACAGGCCTCTTCTTCCTACCAAAGGTGAGTGAGTGGTTTTAACACAATGCTTCTAGCAAGGTATGTGCCTTAGCCCAAGGCCAGAAGGGGGACTGATATACACAACTGGGAGCCTTTTATTTTTATAGATTCTGTAGTATACACATTTATCATTTCATGTGTTTGGGAACTTTTTTTTTCCTTTTGTTGTTTGCATGAGTTTGGTGTTTTTGATGGTGGTGGGTTTTTTGTTTGTTTGTTTGTTTGTTTTGCTTTGTTTTTTGATTTGGGTGGTTGGTTGGTTTTTTTGTC